GCCCGGCATGTCGGTGCACTACACCCTCAACCTGCGCGTATTCTGGCCCCTGGTGACCGGCCTGTGCACTGCCTTCGTGTGCCTCTACCATGTCCTGCGAGGGAGTGGGGGCGCCCGGGCTGAGCCCCCCGACGGCGCGGACGGTGGCTTCCCGCTGCTCAAGATATCTGTCCTGCTCCTCCTCGGCTACATCCTCTTACGCTGTCGCCACGCTGTCCGGCAGCGCTTCCTGCCCGGGTCTCCCCGCCTGGGGGACCGCTCCACCTTCTCTCCAAGGCACTTCCAAGAGCCGAGCCTCGGCATCTTGCTGGAGAGTTACTACGAGCATGAGGTGCGCCTGTCGCCGCACGTGCTGGGCCACAGCAAGGCACACGTGAGCCGGATCGTGGGCGAGCTGGTGCGGGCTGGCCGCGCCCGCGGATCCCCAGGCCCCGTTCCGGGGGGGACCTTGGCCTTGGCCTTCCGCGGAGACTTCATCCAGGTGGGCAGCGCCTACGAGCAGCATAAAATCCGACGGCCAGACGCCTTCGACGTTCTGGTGCCGTTGCGCCTGCCGCCGCTGGTGGCGCTGGAGCCGCGGGGCCTGGGCGCCCAGCCCGCTTTGGCCCCAGCCTTTCATGGCTGCTTCGTGTGCTCACTCAAGGCGCCGCCGGGAGCCTCTGGGAGCCAGTGGCTCCGGGACTGCAAACCTTTCGCTGACAGCTTCTGTGTGGACGTGCGGGGGCGGCGCCACCTCTCGGCTACCCTGGTGCTGCGCTGGTTCCAGTCGCATCTGCAGCGCTCCCTGGCCACCGTGCGATACAGCTTGGAGGAGCGCTGTCGGGTCACCCTGACCCCTGGAAGCCTGGAGCAGCCTCCCACGCTGCACATCCTGCCCTGCCGCACTGATTATGGCTGCTGCCGCCTTTCCATGGCCGTGCGACTCATTCCCGCAGTCCACCTGGGCGACGGCGTCTTCCTCGTGGCGCCACCACCGCCATCCACGCCTGTCGGGTCCCCGTCGGAGCTCCCGGGAGGCCTGCGTGCCGATGCACTGTGGGGCGTGAACACAGCCCGCCAGGAGCAGAAGCTGCTGGGCTGGCTGCAGGAACGGGCCCCTCCAGGTGCCTGCTACCTCAAGTGCCTGCAGTTGCTTAAAGCCCTGCGAGACCTGGGCGCCCGCGGGCTGGACCCCACGGCCGCCACCCAGTGGGGACGCGTCCTGTCCTCATACGTGCTCAAGACGGCGCTGCTGGCGGTGCTGCTGCACGAGAGGGCTCCGGAGCAAGGCTGGGATGAGGCTCACCTGGGCAAGCGCATGGAGCAGTTAGTGCGGTTTCTTAGGGACTGCCTGCTGCGACGCCAGACACTCTTCCACTGCGTCCTGGGTCCCGGAGGGGCGGTCGCCGAAGTGGGCCCACTGCCCAAGGTACTTCGTGAAGCCACCCCAGTTGACCTCCTGGCAGCTTTTGATGGTCACGCCCGGGAACTCGTGGCAGCACGCTTGCTGTCCACATGGCGAAGGCTGCCCCAGCTTCTCCGGGCCTATGGGGGTCCCCGCTACCTTGCCAGGTGCTCCCCACCGCGGAGCCAGCGCACCCAGGGCTTCCCTAAAGATGAACCATAAACTCTGATAGTGGCCCTACCTGGCCTAATGCTCCTAAAGCCTCTCCCACTAGGTGGGGTTGGGGGTGGCAATGAATCCAGTTCAACTTTAGAAAGATGAGCTGCAGAAGGTGATGGAAAATTCTGAGGATGACATTTGGTGACTTAAATGTCATCACCCTTGGATTCACAATCCAGTATAGTTGCAGCATCTTCTTTATACTCACCTAGGCAGGCTCCAGAAAGACATCCAATAGCAGCAGCTAAGAGTTGGTCCAAATGTTGGGTTGTGTGGAACGATTCTGTGGAAGGATCCGCAGATTTTAGGGAAGTCCAGTGAAGGAAGAGAGAACTAGCAGCAGAGAAAATTCCCTCTGTGGGTTGTTGAGGCACAGGTCTCTCTGGCCCCCAAATTTAAAGAAGTTAATTTTTTTTCTGGCATAACTACTTGCTGGGTCCTGGGTTCCCAGTTGGCTTTTTTAAAAACATGATTATCTACAACTGGAATTGATATTCTATTCTAGGGGCTACTGTTCTGAGGAACATAGTTTCTACTCTGCAAATTAATATTAATGTATATTTTAAATGGTGCGGTCATGGGTGTGTGACGAGATTGTGAAGAAGTAAGTCACACAGGCAGTCAAGACTTGGTTAGAGAAACTTCCAGAGCAAATAGCACTTTATTTCGATCAACTCTTTTGTTCTGTGGTAATTGCTAGTGCCAAGTGTTGCATCTGAAAGGGAGGCTAGCTACGTTTACTACTAAGAAATGTGTAGTCTTGAAAAGCTGGCTTGCTCTATTTACATCCCTCCAGGCACATGCCAGGATGTGTACTGGTCAACACCCATCCGTTGAGCTCCTGCTGTGATCCAGGCACAGTGCAAAGTAGCATCAACGTGCATGTTTAAGAAAACACTGGTGAGGGCAGAAAACATGTTGGGTCTAGAGAAAGATGTATTTTAGCTTTGCCTATCAAGGTGTCTCACTGGGACTTGCTGCTGGCTGGAGCCAGAAACCTTTTTTCGTTTTAAGGCTTTTAAGCAAACTCCTTTGCATGAGATTTCTTTTGAATTCAATGAGATAATGAAGAGGAAGTGCCTACTGTAGTGCCTAGCAGGTAGTTAGTGCTCTCAGTGCCCAGTAATGGTTAGTGGTTGGAAAGCTATTCTCCCACTGCCCAAGCTGCCTTTAAGTGGTCCTAAAGCAACTTTGAAGAGAGGTTGTCCGCATAGGTCTTGCGAGGTGTTTCACTTATGTATAGTTCAGTATCTGGACTCTGTACTTGAAGATCCATGACTCTGATCAGTCAGCAGAGGAGAAATACAGTGAAGAGCAAGAGATGGGTGGAGATAAAAGGAGGTAGCCCTTGTTAGTGGTCAGCTCTTTTTTGTCTTTGGACAGAAATATCACCAGGTTGGGTGTATTTTGCAGCCAGGAGGAGCCCATTCTGAAATCCCTCCTTGTCCTCCCAAATTTCTAGCAACCCTCAATTCCAAGTTTAGAATGTCCATAATATGCTTGCCGAATAGAAACTGCAGCCAGTCCCAGTGTTATACTTTGGGATTCTTTTTTTAAACAAAGACATGTACTCCCTTAGACTCTTAAAGGTAAAGCTTGGAAGACAGAAGTAGCTACCTGAATAGGGCCATTGTTTAATTCCTGAGTTATTTTGAGGGAACTCTTTAAACTTTCTTTAGGGGACCTACTCGGCCACTGCAGGAAATCTTTGTGAAGAAATGATTTATAGGAAATCCTCATCAGAACTGCAGAGACTTCTTATATTCTGTGCAACCTTGGACTGTAAGAGAAGCAGTTCGCAAATGTTTTGCTTTCTCTTTGAGGTTGTTTTGGGGAGAGTTCCCCTTGAGACCACAAAGGTCATTCCTAGCTTTTGAGGTTATTACTAGGTTATATATAAGGTACTGCATTTAGCAAAGGGGTCAGTCTACCAACTTTCTGCAAAGATATAAACTGCACAGTGTTTTTTAGAATTCCTTTTTTAGAGTAAATGCCAACAGGAATTAGATCTTATAATGTTTCCATAGTCAGCCACAATTTCCCCTGTGGTCATTAAGCCTACTGGAGCAGGGGATTATAAAACTTTAAAAGCTGAATTTTCCATATATTTCTAGCTGAGTTGATAGGTACCTTTTTTTTATCTTAGTAGTGTTTTGAAGTTTAAATCTGGTAACATACTGTTCTTGTAGGTTTTTGTTATTTTTTTCTTCAGGTTAATTACCCAAAGCCTTGTCCATCCTCAAGATTTTAAATTTTTATTATTTTTTTAAATTAATGGGGCATTGTGTTTGTGAATTTTTTTTTTAATATTAATGTTGTATTTAAATGCCATGCTGAACAATTGTTCTCTGTACATGGTAACCAAAACTTAGCTTTCGATCAATTTTGATCAATGTTTAGTAATCCCAAACATGTACTGTGTACAAATGAAATAATATGGCATATTAGCCAGGTATGATGGTTGCCCGAGGCACTTAAATTAAGCTCAGTTCTGTATTTTATTAGGGCTCCATCATGACCTTAATCAGAAAATTACACATTTTTGGTGTATACTTGGTACTGGAGATTCATATTTGCAAATATTTTTATACAGGAAGGCTCAGAATTGCTCATGTTTAAAAAAAAAAAAAAAATTGTCCAGCCAGTGCCCACAGAAAATGTTTGGGGAAAATGACTCAGCCATTTTGCCTCGAGACACCCTTCAGTAACTCCCACTGACCAGCCTTGGGAGCCATCCTAGAATGCTGGAGGGCTGAGAGTAGGAGGTGGGGCTTTTTTTTTTTTTGCAGAATGAAACTGAAGTGAAAGAAGGGAGAATGTGAATGAATCAAGAGAAATCTGAAGGACTCAGGAAGGAGGACTTAAGATGGAAGTGAAAGGAAGGGAAGATGGGATGGAAATCATATGAGGGTGGGAGAGAGGTTTGGGTTAGGAAACACATTTTTAGGTATGTGCTATTTCAAAATCAGGGGTCGCAAACTCAGCAGCCTGCAGAAGCAAGGTAGAGAAGGGGTGGGTGGGCAGTGGGGACTGCCTGTCTTAGGGGGGCACAGCCATTACTCAGCTCCATGCAAGGGGGAAAAGGGGTACAGTGGGGCTGAAATTCGGGATTTTTTTAAGTGAAACTTTCTGATTTTTAAACAAAACAATTTAAAATTTCTAAAACACCATGTGGGTTAAACAAAACATTTGGTTGAGCCTGTCGGCCACCAGTTTACGACCCCTGCCTTACACAATTAACCCCCCCAAATATGTATAAGGTTATATTTATTGTTATGGATATGATGTTGTTATACATAGTTGGGGGAGTGATATCTCAGTCTTCTTTATCTCTCAGAATTAAGCTTTATTGTAGAAACAAACCAAAAAAATTATCACGGCCACAGATAACACTTAACTCTCAGATGGACCCTCTCTCCTGGGGCTGTTCTTTGCAGTTAGATCCTCCAGCAAACTGCTGGGGGCCAGTTCTTGGCATTTCCTTCCTGGTGAGTCCGGGCTCAACTCCTAGGCTATGTCGGAGTTTGAAGATGAGTCATCAGCAAGGATTGCAGAATAACTTGTTTCTTTTTTATTTGCATTTTATTCTTATTTTAAAATTTATTATTATTATTATTATTATTATTATTATTATTGTTATTATTTGCGGTAGTGTCCTTGGCTGTGCCTTAGCAATGATAACTGGTGGCCTTGAATACCAGAAAATCAGTGCTGGGTCTTGGGGCCATGCTTCTTAGGCTTGTTACCATTCCCATTGCCAAGAACAGTTCCGATCACATGTCCATCCCTTTCTGACTCAGTGGCTCCCACCAAAATTGACATCCTAGCATTCTGAAGGAAGTAACCTAACAGCTTCCAAAGGGGCTCTTTGATCCTCATGGAGTAAGTCACTTTTTCTGTAAAATGTGGCATTTGACCTTGGTGCTGAAGACTTAACTTATCCCCTCCCACGAAGAGGAAGGTTATTACCTCCCCCCCAGTCATGGAAAAAATGAATCTCATTACAATTCCAGTGTCCCTTGAGAGGGAAAGAAGTTCAGTGTTATCATGTGGCCTTTGTTTATTTCTTAAAAATTGCATGTCTGTTGCTTAGACACTACTGTTTATTCTTTATACCTACATAGCCCATGATATGGTGGGGATAAAGCAAGTATAGTAAATTGGGAGCAGGCAAAGATATATATGTGATCATGTATACAGAGGAAATAGACCAAAATGTGCAGCTAAATTATATATAATCTGTTTTTTTAGTATCCGATATTCAGGAATATTTTAGCACCTTTTGCATTTAAAAAAAAAAAAAAAGTGCCTTGATTTAGTCACTTGACTTTAAAACATTCCTCTTATTTTATTGTGATTTTTAATGTGTATTCTGACCCCAAACTGTGTATTATGATGCAGTGTCAGCTGCAGTCATAGCATATGTTGTGTTCCAATAACAGAGACCAAAGAGTTAATCAAATATGGTTCAGCTGCTACAGTTGTGTGATTAAAATGTATTTTAATCACACCAAATTTCCATGGCCCAAAGAGCCGAGGCCTGCCATTTGTTTTCTATTTCAGGTTGGAGTAAATTTGCACTTTTTAATCACATGGGTCATTTGGGGACCTTGTTCTTTTATACTTTGCTTTGTTAATAAAGGAACTTGTAGAAACCTGTGGACTGGATGTCAGATTTTGGGAGGGGTCTCACCTTCCTTGTGGCTGCCCTGGCTTATGTTTTCTTATGGAAGGAAGCCTCGCCTGATCTCAGTGTCTGGGTGTATGGGAGTCTTTCCCAAGCAGCACCGCTGGGATCATCGCTTGTACAGCATTGGCTCCGTACACAGGTGGGAAAGGATGCCAGTTCATAGCTCTGCAGGCTTGCAGCCTGGGGTCCTGCCTCCCAGTCTCTTTTTCCTTGCCTAGAACCTTCTGCTCATGCTCTGCTTCTCCCCTCCTCTCCCCCCACTTTCACACACACTCCTAAATGCAGTTCAAGTCTTGACCTGTGGCTAATTTATAGCTCAAGAATTTTACCCAGAAATCTCTTAGGCCCTCAGGCCTTCTCCAAATGGTAAACATTTGCTAATATGAAAAACCATCAGGCTTAGTGAGAGATGGAAGCTTGGAGGCTAGGTAGGGCCCTTCAAAGCCTTGGTGCCAGGTGGAAGTTCAGGGAAACCTGTACCCACAGGCTGATTAAATAGTTGTGTAGGACACTTGCCCAGGGGAAAATGGGGTGGGGTGTGTTGGCTTTAGTTTTTAACGAGTAGTTAGTTAGTGGCTATTGTCCCTGGGCATTGAGGACACATGCAGTGATGACCAAGACAGTGATGTGGCTGCTCTCTCATGAGCGCACAAACTGTGGTGGGTGTTAGGTGGGGGAAGGGTTATGGGAGCACGGAAGGGGCACCTCCTGCAGTTCAGGGAGGGTTGCTTGCAACAAGTGACGTCTTAGTCCAGATCCAAAGATAGGTTAGGAATTTGCTAAGTGATGGGAGTCGGGCTGGAGAAGAGTGCGTCACGCACAGAGGTGAAGGAGCATTTCGGTTTGGCTGGAAAGTGGAGACGGGGAAGCCAAGGATGAGGCAGAACAGGTAGGAAGGCACCAGGACACCAGGGGTCTTGAAGCCAGAACTTCTCACTACTGAAGTGTGCAGGTCGCTTGGGAGTCTTGTTAGAATGCAGGTTCTGATCAGCAGGTCTGGGTGGGACCTGAGGTTGCATTTCTAACAAGCTTCCAGGGGAGGGTGATGCTGCTGGTTTGGGGGCCACGCTTTGATTGCAAGGCAGTAAACCGCACCGCAAGTTTGGACTGATCCAGAAGATACTAGATGGGCAAGAATGGCAGGGTCAACATTTGAGTTTGCCTTGCTCTGGCTGTAAGGTGGAGAATGGATCAAGCAGGGGTTGACAAACGATTTCTATTTATTTAGTTTAATTTAATTATTTTGTAAATAAAGTTTTATGGGAACAACCACACCCATTCAGTTACATACTGTCTTTGGTTGCTTGCACCCTGCCTCAGCCGAGTTGAGTAATTGGGACACAACCCTGAAAATATCTACTCTCTGGCTGTCTACAGAAAAGGCTGGCTGAAAGTAATCAACCTGGAAGTCATCAGATGCTGCAGTGGTCCAGGCCTGGGTGGGGCGGGGTGAGCGGGGCTGCAGCAGGGACGGAGAAACCAGTTACCCTAGAGACAGAACAGTGTCACAGTTAGGGCCAGTGCTTTAATGCCAAGAGACCTGTGTTCAAGCCTTGTTTCCTGCACTTCTCATCTGTGTCTCTCTGCAAGTTACTTAATCCTTTCTGAATCTCAGGTCCCTCCTCTATAAATGGGATTCATAATAGAACCTCCCCCATAGGAGCAATAGGGGATTAGGTGAGTTCATGCCTGTCAAATGCTAGACTCATGTTAAGCACCCTGTACAAGTCAGCGTAGAAGTAATGATCAGAATGGATTGTCATTTAGTCTGTATCTCCAGCCTCTTCCTCTGTCCCTTTGCTGCTCACTCTTTCTCCACTGCAGGATTGTCTTCACTTTGTCCACCCAGCCATCTCTCTGCTACCCAAATTTTGTTCATCTCTTTCCTTGATGCCCATGGTGTTCCCCTCTATGAAAAGCTCTCACTGTAGCGTAGTGGACTGGTTTCAAAAATAGTCCCTATTCTCCAACCCTTCCTATACCCACACCCTTTGCAAAGTGACTTTGCGGTCTCCCCCATCAAAAAGGGGAGTGACCTTTTGCTGACTGCTTGAAACTGGAATGGCTTTGTGACTTTCTTCAGTCAATAGAATGTGGTGGTGCACATTTCCTTTATAGCACAATTTAATATAATACCACAATAGACATTGTGCTAGTTCCGGGCCTGGGCCTCAAGATACCTTACCTGCTTCTGACTGTTCTCTTGGAAGCCTGCCACCACCAAGTGAGGATGAGAGACCTCATGACCCAACCAGGCCTTTCACCAGAGCTGACAGCCAGCCACCTGTGAGACAGGTGGGGCAGCCATCCCAGACCAGCCCCGCTACCCACTTCTCCCCGACAACCGATATGACAACAGACTGATTGTAACTCAAACCCATCTAAGACCAGCTAAACTTGACCCAGGTCAGCGGAACCACTCAGCTGGCCCATAGCAATAATAGACATTGTTTTAAGCCACTGGGTTAGTGGTAGTTTCTTGCTCAGCACCAGCTAACTGATTTGGAAGCTTTAAAAAAAAACAAAAAACTGGTATGCTAGGGCTGCCACTGGAGAAAATATAGGCTGCCCTTGACTTCTGTGCTTTGGACTTTTTTTTGTTAATCCCTACCCCAGGATATTTTTTCCATTGATTTTCGGAGTGGAAGGAAGGCAGAAGGGGGAGAGAGAAGGAGAGAAACATCGATGTGAGAGAGACACATCAATTGGTTGTCTCCTGCACATACCCACACCCGCCCTGACTGGGGCCGGGCATCGAACCTGCAACCGAGATACGTGCCTTTGACTGGAAATCAAACCAGCAACGCTTTGGTCCATACGCAGACACTAACCCCTGAGCCACACTGGCCAGGGCTGTGCTTTCAAACAGCCAGACTTTGATACAAGCACTGGACTGACAGTGAACCACCTTCCCCACGGCGCACCCAGGTTTCCCTCGCCGGCTGAAGCCCAGCGGGCTGCTGGCCTCCGGCTCAGTGGTGAGGTGCAGCAGCGTTGCCATCTTTGAGCTGTGTGTTTGCACAGCTGTTGGACTACATTCCTGTGCTTGTCCTTATCTTGTAAAAACAAATGGAAGCTGGGAAAACTAAATACCGATTCGGGTGACAAAATGCCACAGGTCTCAGACGATGGCACTGATTCAGCATCCCCAGCATGGCTAAGCTTCAGCTTCAGCCAGATGCTGGCTGGGGGGCAGCTGGTGGGCAGTGCAGTGCGTTCCGCTGTAAAGACCAGAACGACAGTGAGGGGCGGCATTTAGGACACGGCATCACCTAGGAATATTTGGCCACAACTTATAAAAACCTAACCTACAGTGACAAACAAATAGAGGCTTATATTTTCTCATCAGCCAGAAGCCTGGAGGTAGGTGGCCAGCAGTGCAGGGGTGAATCGGGGGATCCAGGCATTGGTTTGCTCTGCCGTTTTCATTTTATCCGTATTTTCATTTTTAGCCATATGCTTGTCATGTGAAGATCCGCAGTGGCTACGATAGGGATGGAGAGGAGAAAATGGATTAGGGAACACCGTAGACTTCCTCTCTCATCTTATTAGCTGGAATAGTGTCACATGGCCACACTTAGCGGCAAGGGAAGCTGGGAAAGAGAGCCTGGCACCTGCCGTACAGCAGCCCTGAGCATAATATGCAGGAAGAATGGGTGTTTGTGGGTAAATAAGATTCTGCTAGAAACAAATAGAAGATTATGTCGAAGAAGTGAGAAGTAATTAGGGAACTTATAATTCTATAATTCTATAATTTATATTTGCCTAAGTCCTAGCGTAGAGTAAATGCTCCATAAGTGTTAAGATTGACGTCTCAGCTCTGTCATTCACCGGCCTTACTCTTTTGGGCAAGTCAGTTAACTTGTCTGGGCATCAGTTTTTTGATTTGCAAAATGGGGGTGAGAGTACCTCCTTTTATAGGTTTGTTGCGAGAAGCAAAGAGTAATGCATGTGAAATTGACAGGTGCCATCCAGTTGCTAGCTGTGGTCTCCTAGGAGTGTGCCCAGCAGCTTTGGGACAACAGAAAGGGGAATCCATTTCTTAAGAGGGGCCACCCTCAGGCACTTTGCCCAGTGCTTCCCCATCATCAAACCTCCCTTCCCACAGGACTGTGAGTGAGTCTGCAGTTATGAATATTTGTTGTATATGTTCCCAGAAGGGAGGAAATTCAGTGAGAGGACTGACCGCCCCCATATCTCTTTGTTTTAAATTATGTCATCTTCTTATAAGCTTTCTCCCCATTTCATTTCTCAAATGAAATTTGATTTGCATTGTTTGAGTCCTGGCAAAAAGCTCAAGCTAGTGGTTCTCAATCCTGTACCTATAATAACATACAAGGGGCTTTGTAAGATTGTCCATGCTCAGGACTCCACCCTGGCCCCATGAGGTCAGAAATTCAGGGGTCCATCCCAGGCTTGGGCACTTTCACAGCTCCCTGGATAATTCTAGAATGCAGCCAGCGTTGTGAACCACTGACTTAGGTCAGATGGTCCTTCTGGAACCTGTCAGTAGAGAACCCCTGATTTCCCCACCAGGTGTGTGGAACCACCAGTTGGTGGGTGTGAAGTTTGCTTTGTGGTAGAGACAGACAGCTGAAGCGGGTGGTGGTGGAATAAAATCCTAGGATGGAACCCTTTAACTAAGAGACACAGGCAAAATATTGCTAAGTAGGCACAGGATTTAATTCCATTGGCAGTTCCTCTTTTCTTCAACCCCAGGGAGATGGAAACGATGAAAAATATTTTGAAAAAATATAAAAAGCCATCAGAGTCATCCTGACACTTCTCAGCAAAGAAAAGTCTATATTTGGAGGAACTGTAAACTCAGTCTAGCCTGGAGAGAACATATATCAGATACAGCCTGTTTTCACAAAATGCTGGCTCTTTTCATGAATAGTCAATGGTTTTTCCCACACTTTGTCCCAGTCTCTGCCCCCTCTGCCCCACCATCCTTAGATGCTGGGACTTT